CTGTCTGTCTATAGTCTGTTTGTCTGTCTATCAGTCTGTTTGTCTGTCTATCAGTCTGTTTGTCTGTCTATCAGTCTGTTTGTCTGTCTATCAGTCTGTTTGTCTGTCTATCAGTCTGTTTGTCTGTCTATCAGTCTGTTTGTCTGTATATCTGCCTCCCCAATCCACCCCCAAAACCATCACACCAAGCCACACCGTGGCATGACTACCTGATTGTATTATGAACACACTCCTGCAGTCCTAAGGCATTACCACACACACCCCTAACCCCCCTCGGCCCCCCACTTCCATTTCCGTTCCTCCCCACCTATTCGGGCGTGTAAGTCTATCCTTGGCATCAGCTTCACTCGTTCGTGGTTCGTCTTTCCCCCCCCGGCCCCCAATTTCCTTCATCCTCCACCACCCCCGTCCTAACGTCCGCTATCCAACTTCCGCTATCCAACTTCCGCTCTCCAACTTCCGCACCCCCTCAGGTCCCCGGTCGCCGCTACCCCGTGGACATCTACTTCACGAAGGCCCCCGAGGCGGACTACATCGATGCGGCGGTGCAGGTGGGGGGATGGTGGTTTCGGAGTGGGAGAGAGGGCAGCCCGATGACGGGCGTTGCGACGGCTCCTTGACTTCGATTGGGCCCAGGAGCTCCCTGGAGCCGGGGTGGTGAGGAGGCAGGGGTGGTGAGGAGGCAGGGGTGGTGAGGAGGCAGGGGTGGTGAGGAGGCAGGGGTGGTGAGGAGGCAGGGGTGGTGAGGAGGCAGGGGTGGTGAGGAGGCAGGGGTGGTGAGGAGGCAGGGGTGGTGAGGAGGCAGGGGTGGTGAGGAGGCAGGGGTGGTGAGGAGGCAGGGGTGGTGAGGAGGCAGGGGTGGTGAGGAGGCAGGGGTGGTGAGGAGGCAGGGGTGGTGAGGAGGCAGGGGGGAGGACGAGCCTGAGAGGAGTGAGAGGAAGCTGATACCTGCCAGGGATAGAGGGATACTCCCGGAAGGCGGCAGTGGGAGGGAATGGTGCTCTACCGGGAGTGGTTCGGCGGGGAGAGAGAAGGCGGGTGGGGGCCTCGCTTGGGGTTGCGATCAAGGCGTCAGCAGTGTCAGCAGTGTCAGCAGCACACCGCCAGACCGTCTTTTTCTCCATTTTTTTCAGATGTTCCATGCCGTCTCTACCGCCCAGCCTCCTAACAGCTAGCTCAGCATCACTAGCTCACCACTACTAGCACCACCAGCACCATCATGCCACCTCCGTGCCCCCGGTTTAGCTCTGGAGACCGCCACTAGGTTTGTCCCACAAGCCCTGTCCCCCTCCTCCTCACCCGTGCCGGGCGAACTAGAATATGACCTTCCCCCGCTGTCGGGGTGACCCCCCTCTCCACACCTCTCCCTCCAACCCCCGCCCCACCGGACTCTATTATTTCAACGAAGAGCAAAAGGCAACTCGATAAACTACTACTCGATGGGCGGCGTTGTACCTTGACGGCTCGTACTTGTCCCACGTGTCACCCCCCCCTTGCCGGAGGCCGGGGTTAGGACAAACAAAGTAATATACTTGAGCGGCCTCCCCCCCCGGCTCCCTTGGAAGCTTGATACTCCTCCCTCCGACCCCGCTCCACCCCTCTCCACTTCTTATACACCGCGCCCCCGCCGTTCTCTCGCTGCAGGCGGTGATGCGCATTCACGTGCTGGAGCCGGAGGGGGACGTGCTGGTGTTCCTGACCGGGCAGGAGGAAATTGAGGCGATGGTGGGTCCAATAAGACCTCAGCTGCAATAAGACCAGGGGCACTGGGGCCGCAGTGTGGGTGGGGGGAGGGGGGGAACCAGGGACACCTGCACCTGCACCTGTATCAAAATTGGTACCTTGCGGGCCGGGAATGTGTAGGCACAAATACACACACTTTCTTTCTCTCTCTCTATGTACATATATATAACATACATATATAACACACGCACTTACGCACACGCACACGCACGCACACACATTGCCTCCTCCCTCCGCATACCCCTTAGGAGGAGCTTCTCCGCCAGCGCATGCGCGGCAAGGGCACCCAGTTGGCGGAGATGATCATCTGCCCCATATACGCCAACCTGCCCACGGAGCTCCAGGCCAAGATATTCGAACCCACCCCCCCTGGAGCCCGGAAGGTGGTGCTGGCCACTAACATCGCGGAAACATCCCTCACCATTGACGGCATTAAGTGAGCAGGAGGGAGGGAGGGAGGGAGGGCTGTTGTGGGTATGGGAGTGGGAGGAGGCTGCCCGGTAGGGCGACACAGACATATAGACATACGGACTTACGGACGCAAATGGACATACAGACAAACACCTTCCGGCTGG